ACGCAGAAGTTGCAGTGAGCCAAGATCGCACCACTGCACTCCAGCCTGGACAACAAGAGTGAAACTCTGTCTCAAAAATAAATAAATAAATAAATAAATAAAATTTAATAAATGTACCTGGTAAAATAATTCAAATTACAAACAGAAATGTAACAAAATGTGTCTCTTATACATTAGATGAATCTCATTCCCCCAGCCTCACTCCCCAGGATTAGCCACAATTATCTTCTCAGAGTAAGTGAAAGTATATATTTATATTTGTGTCTATTTTTATATTTTGCCTTCATAGGAATACACCATCATTGTTATGAATCTTGCCTTGTTTCATTTAACAGTATCTCTTGGGGCCGGGCGCGGTGGCTCACGCCTGTAATCCCAGCACTTTGGGAGGCTGAGATGGGCAGATCACAAGGTCAGGAGATCGAGACCATCCTGGCTAACACGGTGAAACCCCGTCTCTACTAAAAATACAAAAAATTAGCCAGGTGCGGTGGCAGGCGCCTGTAGTCCCAGCTACACGGGAGGCTGAGGCAGGAGAATGGCGTGAACCTGGGAGGCGGAGCTTGCAGTGAGCCGAGACTGCACCACTGCACTCCAGCCTGGGTGAAAAAGTGAGACTCCATCTCAAAATAAAAAACAAAACAAACAAACAAAAAAAAAACAGCATCTCTTGGAGATCATTCTATATCAGCTTGTATAGTACCTCCTCACAGTTTTCATGACTACGTGGTATTCAATAACAAAATGTATTTAACCAGTCCTTTATTGGTGGACACTTAGATTATTTTAAGTGTTTTGCTGTTACAAATGATACAATGGGCTGAGCGCAGTGGCTCAAGACTAATCACCACACTTTAGGAGGCTGAGGTGGGTGGATCACTTGAGCCCAGGAGTTCGAGACCAGCCTGGGCAACATAGTGAGACCCATTCTCGTTTTATTTTGTTCTGTTCTGTTCTGTTTTGTTTTGTGACAGTGTTTTGCTCTTGTTGCCCAGGCTGGAGTGCAATGGCAGGATCTTGGCTCACTGCAACCTCCGCTACCCAGTTTCAAGCGATTCTCCTGCCTCAGCCTCCCGAAGTAGCTGGGATTACAGGTATGTGCTACCACGCTCGGCTAATTTTTTTTTTTTTTTTTTTGTATTTAGGAGAGACAGGGTTTCACCATGTTAGTCAGGCTGGTCTTGAACTCCTGACTTCAGGTGTTCCACCCGCCTCAGCCTCCCAAAGTGCTGGGATTACAGGCATGCGCCACCGCGCCTGTACCTATTTTTTAAAAAATAAAACAAATTTTTAAAAATGACACAATGAGCCGGGCACGGTGGCGCATGCCTGCAATCCCAGCCCGTTGGGAGGCCGAGGCAGGCGGATTACAAGGTCAGGAGAGCGAGACCATCCTGGTTAACATGGTGAAACCCCATCTCTACTAAAACTACAAAAAATAAGCCCGGCGCAGTGGTGGGCACCTGTAGTCCCAGCTACTCGGGAGGCTGAGGCAGGAGAATGGCGTGAACCCGGGAGGCGGAGCTTGCAGTGAGCCGAGATGGTGCCATTGCACTCCAGCCTGTGAGACCCCGTCCAAAAAAAGAAAAAAGTTGTCTGCATTTTTAAAAATATTTTTGGGCTGGGCATGGTGGCTCACGCCTGTGATCCCAGCACTTTGGGAGGCCAAGGCGGGCGGATCACAAGGTCAGGAGATCGAGACCATCCTGTGAATGGTGAAACCCTGTCTCTACTAAAAATACAATCAGCAGGGCGTGGTGGCAGGTGCCTGTAGTCCCAGCTACTCAGGAGGCTGAGGCGGGAGAATGGCATGAACCCGGGAGGCGGAGCTTGCAGTGAGCCGAGATTAAGCCACTGCACTGCAGCCTGGGCGACAGAGTAAGACTCTGTCTCAAAAAAAAAAAAAATTTTTTTTTGGCCAGGTGCGGTGGCTCACACCCATTATCCCAGTGCTTTGGGAGGCCAAGGCGGGTGGATCACAAGGTCAGGTTTGAGTTTGAGACCAGCCTGGCCAACATGGTGAAACCCTGTCTCTACTAAAAATACAAAAAATTAACCAGGTGTGATGGTGGACACCTGTAGTCCCAGCTACTCAGGAGGCTGAGGCAGGAGAATCGCTTGAACCCACGTGGTGGAGGTTGCAGTGAACAGAGGTCATTGCTCTCCAGTCTGGGCGACCGAGCGAGACTCTATCTCAGAAGAGAACAAAAAAAAAAAAATAATATATATATATATGTATATATGAGTGTGTGTGTGTGTGTGTGTGTGTGTATGGATATTCTCAAATCACTCTCCAAGGAGATTGCACCCGTTTACAGGCCTGTTTCCCTACATCTTCTGGAGTGATTGTGTGTGTGTGTATGTGTGTGTGTGTTACAAGCAAACAGGGAATCTCTGCCCCACACCTGGCTCTAGTAGAGACATTTTTACATCTGACATCTCCAAAGCCAGAAGATGTCACCTTCCTCCATCTCCTCCACTCCTGCCTCCAGGGCCAGCTAGCTACCTCTTCCTGCCAAGTTATCTCCTATGTCACATCCATCTCTCCTTTCTTTCCTCTTTTTTTTTTTAAGACAGTCTTGCTCTGTCACCCAGGCTGGAGTACAGTGGTGTGATCTCGGCTCACTGCAAACTCTGCCTCACGGGTTCAAGTGATTCTCCTGCTTCAGCCTCCTGAGTAGCTGGGATTACAGGCGCCTGCCACCATGCCCAGCTAATTTTTTTTTTTTGTTGTATTTTTAGTAGAGATAGGGTTTCGCCATTTTGCCCAGGCTGGTTTTGAACTCCCGAGCTCAGGCAGTCTGCCCGCCTTGGCCTCCCAAAGTGTTGGGATTACAGGTGTGAGCCACCGCACCTGGCCCCTTCCTTTCCTCTTCATTCTGCCTCAGTTCAGGTCTTAATCCTCCATCTTTGGGACCATGCCTGTGGTCTCCCAATAGTGTCTTGTATCCTTGAATGCCTAATTTAGCTTCCAACATGCAGCTGCCAGGTTTCAGCACAGCTCACTCCTGCTCAGGGTTCCTCAAAGGCACCCTCTGCCTGCAAGAAAAAGGCTACTCCCAGCCAGGTGCGGTGGCTCACACCTGCAATCCCAGGACTTTCAGAGGCTGAGGTGGGAGGATCGCTTGAGCCTAGAAGTTCCAGACCAGCCTGGACAAAATAGTAAGAATCCATCTCTACAAAATAAAAATAAAAATTAGCCAGGCTTGGTGGTGCATGCCTGTAGTCCCAGATACTCCCACAGGCTGAAGTGGGAGGATGGCTTGAGCCCAGGAGGTCGAGGCTGCAGTGAGCCACGATCATGCCTTCCCACACCAGTCTGGGAGATAAGAGATCTTGTCTCAAAAAAAAAAAAAAAAAAAAAAAAAAGGCCACTCCCATGGTCTGGCCAAAGATCTGCATAATCTACCCACTCCTGCATTCTGCGGCCTCATTTCCTCATTTCCAAACTCCTCTGAGCCTCACTCCTCCAGGGAGTGTTTTCCAATCCTCCAGGGCTGCCCAAATAGGGCTAGGTGTCCTCTGTCCTCACTCGCCTTCCACGGTTCTCCCGTGCTGCATTTGCAGAATTGCAGTGATCATCTGTTCACGTTTCTTTCTCTCCACCCTACGGTGTGAGTTCCCTGAGAGCAGAGGCATAGCCTGGTCCTGGCACGGTGCCTGGCACACAGTACGCACCTGATACATGTGATTGACTTGAACTTCATGTGGCTAGAGGGTGTGTAGGTAGGTGGTGGTGGAGGGGAAGCCTCACTGTGGTCTCAAAGTCTGGAGCTCCTTTGCGTGTTTATCTGGCCTCTGCGATGCAAATCTGGGAGGATCAGTGTTTGCATGGAGAGCAGGAAATAAGAGCAGGACCTGAGGATGAGGGCAGAGACCGGAGAGGACTGGGTATTTATCTAGCCGAGGGCTGTTGTGATCCAGCCCAGGCCCAAACTGAGACTAGGGTACTGCAGGTTTCTTCAGGTAGGTGCTTATTGGATCTTTTCTACCAGAGAAAAGCAGTGGAAGGAGGACAAAGGACGGTTTCACACAGCGCTGACTCCTCGTCACACAGACTTGGGGACTGATCAGCGTCTGGGGCACCAAGAGGCATTCTGGGGGCTGGATTCACGAGGTAAGGTGTTGAGCAGACGGGACAGGGGGGTGGAGCAGGGGCGCAGGCACCAACACTTGAGAGAGGTACTTCCCCCTTCTTCCCTGGGTGTGTGCAGTGGGGGCTCCAGAAACGCCCCACCCCTGGGAAAGGGGCGAGTGAGGCTGGCCCCATCTTTCCAGCCCCCGGCGAGCTCCAGCGTCCGCGAGGACAGGGAGGCCTCTAGCGGCTGGCGTGGGAAGCAGGCAAAAGCCGGCGCGGAGGGCGGGGGGGCATTTCCTGCCCGGGCCTGGGGCCGCGCGCTTTCGCAAAGGAAGTGCCTCCCGGACGCAGGGCGGGGCGGGAAGTGGGGCGGGGGCGCGGCCAATGGCAGCTCAGAAGCCGCAGCGGGGCGGGGCGGGGCGGGCAGAGCCCCCGGCGCCTGCCCCACCCAGGCTGCCCCGCAGAGCTAGGCGCCGAATCCCGCCGCACCCAGGCCAACAAGTTCTGCCGCTGGAGCTTCCACCCCGAGCCTCGCCCCGCTCCCCGCCTCTGCCTTCGGGGCTGCACAAGCCCTGCCCCTGCAGCTCCAGGGCAGAGGCCGCGCCCCCTTCCCCGCCGCATTCCAGGGCTGCCCCTCCCCAGGCCTTCGAATTTTGCTTTCCAGCTAGCAGTATCCCGTTGTGTGTCCAGGCATTTAATTAGTCCTGCCAAGAGGGTACATCTCCATTTTGCAGACCACATCCCCGAGGGGGGGAGAGGTAGAAGAACACAGCCTGGAGGCTCAAATTTGTGCTCTGACGCTGCCCATTCCCACCTGAAGTGTCGAGGGACGGGCAGCCCCTCCAGGTGTGCTGAAGCGGGGGTCCCACGGCAGGTGCAAGGCCCACACCCCAAGTACCCCGCAAAAACCACAGAAACAAGATGGGGGTCTGGCTTTTTCTTTAGTTCTCATTACACTGGGGCTCTGTCAAAGAGAAGGCACTTAAATGGGAAGGCCACGTGATGCAGGCCAACCATATTCGCCCCCCCACCTGCTCTGGGGTAAGGGGGCACAACGACATCGCCATTTGACATCCCCCTTGGCACTGGTATGTGGGTCCCCTTAACCGTTAGACCCTGGGGAGAGCCCAAGGCCTTGGCCTCTGGAATTGCCATGTTAGGAGGAGGGGCTTCAGAAACAAGAGTCGGAAGGCAGGATATCCTGGGAGCTGCCCCCAGCCAGCAGGGGGCTGTAGGGGATGGGTTGGCACAGGGGAGGGGGACAGCTTGGTCGGGCTCCCTGGAGATCCCCAAACCCCACAAAAGGTCCCACCTCCTACAGATCCCGCAAAGGCACCGGTGAAGTCGGGTGGGTGAGGAGGCACTGATGAGCTGGCGTAGAGACCCCCCCACACACACACTTAGCTGGTGTGCCTAGCATAATGCTGGGCACAGAAGGTGCTCAAGAAATGCTTTTTTGAATGAATGAACGGAGCAAAGGGATGTGAGGGACAGAGGACAGGGCCTGGGGCCCCTTGGCCCAGCTTGTTCCATTCAGAAAATAGTTTAAAAAATGTAAAAATCCTTTCCCTCCCTCCCCCCAACGTCTGGGCCCAGGAAAGGGGCAAGGGAGGGGTGTCTCTACCCTGACCCTTCCCTCTCTCCTTCCCCTAAAAATCTATATACACATGTACATATTTATATGGCACCACAAGGGGGGTCTTGCCTATGCCCCCACACTCAGAGCTGGGGGAGCCAAGTCCCAGGGCTGGTTAAGGCAAAAGTCTGAGGTCGTTGCTTGGATGATGCAGGGAGCAGCCCTCAGCTGTTGGCCCTGGAGAAGCTGTACTGTGGGGCCTGAAGGACAGACTCCTGCTGCCTTCCCCAGTGGTAACAGACCTTCTCCCCTCCCTCCAAGGCAGAGGCAGAGGTTAGTAGGGGCCCTCTCAGTCCCAAGAGAGGAGGTGGGGCAGGGGGAGGGGCTGGTTCTCCCCTCCCAGCCTAGAGCTGTGCCCCTGGGAAAGCTGGGCGGGGAAGAGGGGGCTCTATGCAAGGCACTTGATGTTCACCGTTCCCAGACTGGGGGTCCAAGGCAGGAACCCTGCCTCCAGGAAGCAGAACTGGAAGGGGCCAAGGGGCCCGATTTGGCAGCAGAGAAACATGGCAGCATGGACAGAGACAGAAAAAGGGAGCAGCAGGCAGGGCCTCTCAGGTCCCCGAGAATGGGGGAGGAGGTTCGAAGGCACTGACACGGGCCTGGGGCTCACAGTCCTCAGTGCAGCCTGCTGCCCCTACACCGCCTGGCAAGGCTGGTGGGGGAGACGCCCGCTTCCCCATGGCACTGAGTGTGGCGGTGGCCCGTGGGTTTTCCTAACAAATGCCTGGGCAGTCTTCCTGGGAGGAGGTGTGGGTGTCATTGGTCAGGGGCAGGTCCTGGCCCCATCACCCTCACTAGCTCCCTGGCCGTGGCTGCCTGAGCACTGAGTACACGTCGTCCACGCGGCTGAGTTGCTCGAAGAAGGGGAGGAGGTCGTGGAGCTCTGTGTCACTCATGTTGTCAAACCACGAGGCCACCGGTACCTGGGGAAGTGGGTGTAGGAAGGTGAGGGGGGCAGGTGGTCCTGAGTGCAGAATTTCCAGGCCAGCCCTATGTAGCTACTACTCAGATCATGCAATTTCTGAAAACCCCTCACCCACAGTGTTCAAACTTTTTTGACAGCAACCCCCAGAAAAACACATTTATAAACCTAACAATGCAAAAGTTTCACGATTCTTAACCTTATTTGTGCAAAGCACTCGGATACTTTTTTTTTTTGAGGCAGGGTCTTGCTCTGTTGCCCAGGCTGGAGTTCAGTGGTGCAATCTTAGTTCACCACAGCCTCTGCCTCCAGGGCTCAAGTGATACTCCTACCTCAGCCTTCTGCATAGCTAGGACTCCAGGCATGCACCACCACGCCTGGCTAGTTTTTGTAATTTTTGTAGACATAAGGTTTCACCATGTTGCCGAGGCTGGTCTTGAACTGCTGGGCTCAGCTACCTGCTCACCTCAGCTTCCCAAAGTGCTGGGATTACAGGCATGAGCCACTGCACCCACGGGATATTTTCTATTCGATTTCATTTTATTAAAATTCCCGATCAGGACCCACTAAATTAATTATGTGAGCCATCAGTAGGTCACAACTGGCAGTTGGAAAAGTTAAAACTTTCCAAACTCGGTTGCCCTTTGGGGGCCCCTGTGCATGGCAGACGCTCTGCTGTGTGTGAGGGGAAAGGACCACATAGCTGCAGGGCAGGTGGACGAGGGTAGTGGGCAGCAGGCACAGGCAACTGAATGCAGGAAGGACTGGGAGGGCACCCACCCCCCAAATGGGAATCCGGGAGGCCAAGGTGGCCTGAATGGACTGACCCCTTCCTGGGCCTCAGCTCCTGTCCCAGTCCCAGTCCAGCCCGCACTCACGGCATTGTCCGGATGGAAGACATAGGAGGCGGGCGAGTTGTCCAGGATGAGCACCCGCCGCAGGTCTCGGCCCAACCGGCTCAGGTCCTTCACATAATTCCCCCGGTGGAAGACGCAGGACTCTCGAAACAGCCGGGCCCGGAAGGCTCCCCATTTGTCCAGCAGGTCAGCTACTGGGTCTGCATACTGGGAGCAAGAGGTGGGTCATCCTGGGGCCTGCAGGTTCATTGGGCTGCATGTGGGAGGTGGGTGGGAGAGTACGGTTGCCCCAGGACCCCTGTGGGGCTCACCTTGGCGAGGCTGGCGGTGAATAGCACACATTCAAAGAGCTCGCCCATTCGCTGCAGGAACTCATCCACGTGAGGCCGCTTCAACACGTAGACCTGGGGGGCGGGCCAGTGAGGCGGCTGCGGGCCAGTGGGGCAGTGTGGGGGTGGCCAAGGGCTGGGAGGGCATGGGCCAGGGAGGCAGAGGCGCACAGGAAGGAGGCTGGGCCTGCAGGCTCCACTTGGCCAGTTACCCTGACCACTGCTGGGGAAACTGCCACCCCTACCCCAAAAACGATCAAAACTTCTACTCCACTGGACAGTCCTACCTCATGAGGTCACTAATTCCCAGTCCCTTCCCCTGCCTCAGCCTAGTGTAGGAGTCCAGGGGCAGCCCCCTCACCCCAAGGCTGCAGGGCACCGGTCCCCGAGCCAAGTAATGGAGAACAGGCTGGACAGCACACAACCTATCCTGAATTACTTGAACTGGGTCCCGGGCAGGGTGGGGCGAGGGGGCACAGCATGAGGGAGCCTAGAGGAGGAGCCCACTCGGCAGGCCTGGAGTCAGCACAAGCCCCTGAGGTTCTGTGTGACTTTGGGGCAAGTCTCACGCCCTCTCTGGGTCTCTGACATTCCACATGTATGCAATTCCCATCCGAGGCGCTCCAGATTGGTAGGAAGAACCTAGGGTCTGGGAGGCAGATGCCAAGCCCACCACTGCCTCTTCCTGGCCCTCACCTGGTGGACCACCCCATCAATCTCCACAGGGATGATGAAGTCCGCGTTGTTCACTGGCTGTGGGGGGAAAAGAGCTGCTGGAGTTAAGAGGAGGAGCCCCAGGGCATGGGGCCCAGCACACACCTCCCTCCCAGGCCAGGGTGGGGGACCCCTCCAAGACCCAGGCTGAGGACCGTTGAGCAGGGCCCACCTTGAAGGAGCTGTGCACCAGGGTCTCGTCCAGGTCGATGACCACGCAGATCTTGTCTGAGTCCTGGGCCTTGGCCTCAGGGAGCAGGTATTGGACTGGGGTCTGCTATAGGGAGGGCGAGGCTGGCTGGGGTGCCTCTCTCCAGGCCCATCCTTCCTCCCATGTAGGCTTCTCCCCCTAGCCCTCTCCAGAGGAACCCCGGGCCCAGGGGACAGATATTTCCCCCTTCCCAGCTTTGCCCCTGCCAGCTCTGGGGCTTGGGTAGGCCTCCTGGTTCTCTGAGACCTCTCTGAAAACCAAGGTAGGAAATAGCTTCCACTTATAAGGGAGAATTCAGTTTCCCCACAGTAGGCAGGGCCTGGCAGGGGAGGTTGCCACCCACCTGCTCTTCACCTTGCAGGTCTGCAAGTCCATCCTGAAAAGCTCAGTTAGGAGCCCCTTCCCCTAAAACCCTTAATACTTAGTACAGGTGCTCACGCGGCCCCACCTGGCCCCCACGCACCTTGGGGATGGCGCCATTCTCCTCCACAAGCAGGGGCGCCCCGCTGTGGGCGGGCAGAGCCTCCCCATCATCCCGGCAGACACAGCAGAAGAGTGAGTGGAGGATGCCCCGGCTTCGGGGCTTCTGGGAAGCTGCTGACTTCTGGTCACCTGAAGTAGGGAGGCCCAAGTTGGGGGCTCGGTGCACACTGGCCTGCAGAATCCTGCATGTGTGCCCAGGCATGAACCCCTGAGCTGGGAGGATCTTGCCGTGGCCCCTTCATCAAGGGAGACACACGAAGGCAGATCCTGACTTCCTCTGAAATGCCCCTGTCAAGGCCCCACAATCTGCTCCAAGGCTCCTGCAGCTCCCTGACAAATAGAGACCTCTCAGATATTAAGGCGCCCACATAGGCAGTGCGTGGCCTGGAGAAGGGGGTCCTGGGGTGCTCTCTCCCTGCCTCTCACAGCCTCCATGACTGCTGATGATCAGCCCCACTGGGGTGCCTCCTGACCCCACCTTACCTGAGCACCCCTGCCCAGGACAGCCAGGGCCTGGGACCCACGGCAGTCTGCCCCTGCCCTCTCTCCATCCTCTCCACCCCCATTGGTACAAAGTCCTCACTGCGGCTGGGCCCAGAGGCAGGGGTGCAGTCCTGCGGCCTAGGGCCAATGTCCAGTGGCCATCTGTTTGCCCCACCCTGCCCAAACCTCCGACCTGGAGCCCAGGAGCGGCAGCCCGATTAACAGACACCCCTCCCACCCCATCCCCCTTCGGCCCCCTGCAACTAGCCTTTCCACCTTGCCCTCAGCTCCAGGGCAGCCAGGCCCAGGCGAGGGTGGGCAGACCTGGGGGCAGCGTCCAGGTCCTGAGATCCACACGGGGAAGAGGACGGGCAGACCCCCACCCCGGCCCAGCCACCCGCGAGGCGGGGGGAGCGCGCAGCAGCTAGGCTTCGCGGGGTGGTGCGTGCCCACTAGGCGCACGACTCTCCCCGCGGGCGCCAGGCAGCTCTTGGAAGTGCTGACCGTCCTCTCTGTGTCTCCGAGGGGCTCGGCGCCTCCACGCGTGACGCGAAGTTTGTGGGAACGTGGCTGTGTGTTGGCGGGAGATCCCTCCAAGCCTCCCTAGTCCGCTGTCACCTCGGCGCCCCCTCCCAAGACCCTACAGAACCGCAGCCAAGGGAGGGGGGTGGGGCGGAGTCTCAGCGGGTGGCCCTTAGGCACCCTCCTTAGCTCCCCCATCTCCCAGCCCCATTGGCGCCAAAAGGGGGGGGGCGCCCATGCACCACGCAATGCCAGCCAGGAAGCCCCCGAAGGAGTTCCTTCTCTACTCCTGCCTCAGTTTCCTCACCTCGAGCGGACGGGAGCGCCCCAAAGGCGCCAGGCCCCGCCCCGCGTCTCTGAGCCTCCTTTGAGTTCAAACTCTCTCCCCGCTCCCTCTCGGGCTGGGAGCTTCGGGCACGGCTGAGGCGGCCGCCTGGGGCGGCGGCGGCGGCTCCTCTGGGGAAGATCCCAACCACTCCTCTCCTCCCACGGCGCCCCGACTTCGGCCCCCTCCCCGAAGCCCCGGTACCTTTGCCCCGCAGCGGGCCCCGAGCCTCCTCCTTGCTGATCTGAGTAATGACGGCCGAGCTGTCCATGGGGCCGGGCGCGCTCCGCTCCGGCCGGACTCTGGCCCGGGCGCCCGGCCTCCCCCCCGGCTGGGGCCGGAATCGGGGCGCGGGGGGGGAGGGGAGGGGTGGGAGGGAGGGATCCCCGCGAGCTTCGGAGGGGAGGGGAGCCAGGTTCTAGGGGGGAGGGGGAGGGAGGGGGCGCGGAGGAAACTTTGTTACAACATGGAGTTTCCTCCCCGCGAGGCGGATGCAAACATGGAACCCAGGCGCCGTTTCAAGGCTCCCCCTTAAAAGGGCAACGGCTTCGGCGTGACCTGGACTCGGCTGCGGCTTTCGCCACTTCTGGGACCGACGCGGCTAAGCGGACTGGGAGGCGGGCCGGGCCGGGTTCCTGCCGCGCTCCAGGGGGCGTCGCCTCCCTTCCTGCCGCCCGCCGGCGGGGCTGAGCCTCTGCGGCTGCGTGGCAGGCTCGGCACCCGGCTCACCGTTCCAGGCCGCCGAGCACCCTGGGCCAAGGCCCGCCCGCGCGGAGCGCCCACGCCCGGGAGTGCACGAGTGCGGCGCGGCTCCACCTCTGCGTTTTCTGAGGACCCGGGACTAGAGGCTTCTTGGTTACCTCGTTGAGGACTTGGGGATAGCGCTACCTCATCTGTAAAATGGGTCTTCTCTCCTGTCTGGTGATCGCAAAGGTCACTTCGCAAGGGCGTCATGAGCCAGCGTCATGAGCTGGCTTGAAACAGCTGTGCAAACCTCAGAATCACGGTCTTGAATAGGACGGTCGCCGCCCCCCGCAGCCCCTGGGCAAGGTGCCCCTGGTCTGTAGGGCGTGAAATTTCAATTCCCTGCCCTGGGAAGTCCCCTGCCGACCTCTCCCCACGGCCCCACCCGGGGCCCCGCACGTCCACCCGCCGCGCACAGGCCACCACGCATTCCCGCCTGGAGAAGTTTTCGTATGCGCTGTTCTCTCCGCGTAGCCAAATTCCACCGACCTCGAGGAAATGCCACCTTCTCCAGGGGCCTTCCCAGGTCCCCTCCCCTGCCTGCGTTCGCCGGCCGCCCTGTGATTACTGGGGGTGCGGTGGGGGTCACTGGACTCGCTGCCGATCCCAGGAGCCCAGCACGGCGCCGCACGCGGTGGGCCCAAAGCCTGATCGTGGGGGACCTCAAACCAGAGGCCCTCAAGGTTCGTTCCACCCGACCTGTGGCGCAGTGCTAGGCACTTGGGAACGAAGGTCCCTGCCTTCTCCCGGGAAGCCCCTCCGTGGTGCGCGCCGTGGGTCTGCGGGTTGGTCTTTTCACTTGTCATTACTATTTTGTAAGTTCACCATTTAAAAACTAATAACGCCAAGCCCGACAAACACGCCTCGGCACTTCCTCCCCTCCCCGCTCTCCCGCGGGCCTCCGTGGCGGGGCGGGGCGGGCGCGTCCTGTCCCGTTCGGCCTCCGGGTGCGACGCGGCGCACGTCCGCCAGGCCCTGCCGAGGGGGAGCCGGGGAGGGGAGGCCCCGCGCGGGGGCCGGGAGGGCAAGGGAGGGGAGCGGCGCCTGCCATTAGGCGCGGCGGCTTCGTGCCCTGAGGCTGGGAGCAGGGGCGGGAGGGGACTGTCGGGGACTGATACCCCGGCCCCGGGGCTGGTTCCCTCGGACCTCCTCCTGCTCCTGGGTAGCCCACGGGGCGGCCACCATTGCGCGTCACCGTGATCGCTACGCGCTGCTGGCGCTCTCCCAGGCCTGCTCTGGCTGCGCCCCCTAACCTCATTTACCCCTTAGAACGGCCGCCTCATCCCATTTCACAGATGAGGAAACTGAGCTTCAAGAAAGGAAGCGACGTTCCCCGGGTCTACCGGCGAGGGCAAAGGCGGGATTCCAGCCTGGGAGCGGGACATCTGTCTCCCCTGCGGTCCGGCCCCCTGGGTGGGGCCTCAGCTTTATCTCCGGATGCGGGGCCCTCATGACCCCAAAAGGAAGCGTGTGGCGAGGGACCGAGTGGAGTCGTGGCCTCGCCCTTGGCCTGGGTTGGGTGGCGCGCCTTCCTCTCCCTCTGTGAAGGGGGCTGGAACCTGGCCGGCTGTCCCCCCACCCACCATTCCCAGACGGGCCATCCTGGGCTCACGGAATTCCTCAGGAATGCCCCACCTCCTCCACCCCAACCTATCGCCACTTCAAGTCTTTGCCCGTGCCGATCTTTTCCCAGGGAGACCTAACTCCTCCTCCCATGCTCCCAAGGCAGCAGAGGCAGCCGCGCCTTCTGCCTGGAGCCCTGGACTTCTCTCCCCACGCCTCGGGGCAGGTAGTTACGGAGTGACTCGAGAGGCCAGAATTGCGTGGGGGGAGGGGGTCCTTCGGGTGTCCTCCCTCAGGGGATTGTCTACACCCAGCTGCTCTCTATCTCTACAGGTAGAGCTCGCTTTATGCACTCTATTTTTTGTCTGTTTTATCGATTCGCACCCCAGGAAAAATAAAATCACAGAGGCCACAAATCAGAAACGGGGAGGGGCAGGAACGGGATTCAGCAAGATGCTGTCTGGCACCTGTGGATTTGGAAGCGTCCCTCCCAACCCAGTCCCTCAGCTTCCCCATCTGCCAAACGGTGCTGGTAAAAGCCCATCCCAGGGGGATGGGGGGAGCGGTGCAGAAAGTCGGGGTGCGCTCAGCAGGCTCCTGGGGAGTGCCGAATGCGACCACGCCCTCCCTGAGAGGCCTAAAGGGAGCTTCCAGAAGAGCAACTCTGCACCCCTCTTCCTGGAGGGTCGATTTGAGCCCGGGCTGGGAGAACCAGAGCTACAATGGGTGGAATAGGGGCAGCTCTAAGTAGACGCCTTCCAGTCCCCAAACGACTGACCTTGGCGCGACCTCATCACTAGCCCTTTGCCCAGGCCCTGGGTAGCCCCTTAGCCGACCCTCCGTGTCTTCTTGACCAACCTGCCCATTCCTCTGCCGTCCCCCCATTCCTGCCCCATAAGATCTAAGACGTCCCCAGAAGGCTTCATGTCTTGGCAGATGTGCACAGATGTGTCCCCATGCTCCTGGCACTCTCATTCCTCCTGGACTGTCCTGTCAGCACTGCCCCCTACCCCTGACCCCCCTTCAGCAAGATTCAGTCCCCTTCCCAGGCCGGCCTCCTTCACCGCATCCTGCCCCAGAGACTTGTTTGCACAGCTGTCTCCCGCCACTGGAGTGTGGGGCCCTTGAGAGCTGACATCTTTAATTCGGAACTTTGCCTCCCTCCCCCACTTGTAACACAGGGCCTGGCACAGGACTGGCACTCAATGCTAAGTGAATTCACGAGAGGGGTGTGTAGGGGGTACAACTGGGGCACTTCCAGGAGGCTAAAGGATCTGGGAGATGGCTTTCTTCGCTCCACGCCCCCCCATCTTTTTCAGCTGGCATGGACTCATCTCCAGTGCCAACCCTAGAGGAGGCGGGCGGCCCTCTTGCCCAGGTACCCTCTGCAGCACTTGCCCAGGTCGCACAAGCCCGGTCCCATCCCTTTTCTCTTTGAGGGACCCACTTGCATCGTTGCCCTTTTAAGAAAGAGGAAATTCTTCTCATAAACAAGCGTCCCGACTTGAGCGCGGAGCCAGGCCGCCCGCCCTGCTGGGTCCCCGGGAAATCGGGGGTTCTTTCAGGTGCAACACCCGGCCCACGTTCAACTCTCGGGAAAGGCCCGTTAGTGTCTCCTCGCTGCGGCTCTCCGCAGGTCCTGGGCTGGGGTCCGAGGGACCCGAGGAGGCTGGAGGAGGGACTTGGGGGAGCCTAGAAACAGCCTAGGGAGCGTCTGTAAAGTGCAGCCCCTGAATGGGGCGAAGGGGTGCTCAGTCGCTCCCTAAGGCAGAGGGGACTCCCCGCCCACACAGCTTCCCCCGACCCACTCTCCCCAGAGGATTCTGGGGCCCCAGGGCGCGAGCCCCGAGCGCCAGCCTCCCCCAGTCGTTCCGCCTGGCGGGGAGGGGGCGGGAGGGCCGGCGTCGGGACTGTCTCTGCCCCTAGGGGGAGCAGTCAGCGGAGAGGGAGAGCTAACGGCGCGGCGTGGGAGTCGCGGCCGCCGGGTCCCTTGAGGAAAACAGCCTCAGAGGCACGGGCCCTTGGGTTCCTTATGACCTGGTGCCTGACGGAGAAAGAAGCGCGCCTCCGTTTTACTGTCTGGAAAATGGGTTGCAGGCGGAACAGAAAGGCTGCGGCGAATAGGAGCGGACCAGACCCTGGCGTAGGGGTCTTCTAGATGTTTTAGAGACTCCGTGCCTTCCCGCTTCCCATTCCCTGCTCCTTTGGACGAGAAGGGAACTAGTATTTATGTAACTTTAATCAGGCCGGGTGCGGTGGCTCAAGCCTCTAATTCCCAGCACTTTGGGAGGCGGAGGTGGGGGCGGGATCACTTGAATCCAGCAGTTCGAGACCAGTCTGGCCAGCATGGCAAACCCCGTCTCTACTAAAAATACGAAAATTAGCTGGGCGTGGTGGTGCGCGCCACTCCCGGGGCTGAAGCACGAGAATCAATGGAACCCAGAAGGCGGAGGTTGCAATGAGTGAAGATTACGCCACTGCAATCCAGCCTGGGACACAGAGGGAGACCCTTTCCCTGTCTCAAACAAACAAACATTCATCAGACACTATTTCAAGCTCCAGTTTGGAGCCTGTGTCTCGCCCAAGTCCCCAAGTCCTTACCCCACCCGTCCTTGGGCTGGCAGGTCACGCCTGAAGGTGCTCAGTAAATACGTTTTGAAATGTTTTTTGTTTGTTTTGTTTGTTTTTGTCCCCAGTGCCAGGCACTGTGTTAAAGTGCTCAACCTCCATAGCAAGGGTGGTGTTGTCTCCATTTTACAGATGAGGACACTGAGACCCAGAGGTTAATCACATGGCTGTGCTAGGAAATAGCAGATCGGTAAAGCCCCTAAAGCCCTAAAGGCAGGTCTCAGGAACTGTCCCACTCCATCCTGCTCCCTGCATGCGTCCCCTCCACGCGTCCCCTCCACATCCAGCAGGCCAGTCACGCCACGCATGCCACTCCCAGCCAGGCCCTGGGTGTGGGCCTAGCCAGAGGTCTCCCCTTTCTGGTCCTCTTCAAGGAGCCCATACAGGAAGTGGTGGTGGGAGCTGTGGGCCAGAAAGGTGGCTCCGTGGGCAAGGCAACAGGTCCAGACCTGGCGGAGGGGCGACCATGAGTTGGGGAGAGGCCAAGACCTCTGGGGAAGGCCCAATGTGTCCCCACAGACCCTCCCCATTGGTTGCCTCCCGTCCTCGCCTCACCCATTCCCAAGGCATCCCCTGGCTCTACTATACCAGGTAGGTGCTGAGACCCAGGTAGGCTGCGGCCAGCAGGGCTGCAAGGCCGAAGTAGGCAGGGTGGGGCAGGCTGGGCAGGTAGCTGACCACGAAGTAGAGGTTGATGGCGCAGACTAGCACCATGATGGAGGAGGTGACGACCTTGCTCAGCCTGGGGGACACGAGAGAGGCTCAGGACTGGCTGGCTGCAGCTGGACCACCTGCATCTACTTCTCTTCATCTCCCAGTGCCCACACTGGGGGTGGGGGTGGATACACAAAGGCCGCTTCTCTGGGCTGTGGGACCTGGAGCAGGTAGACCACCTCCCCACCTCCTGCCTCCTGGGCCCTCCAGGCTACACACTGGCGGGATTTGGCAAGAGCTGAGTCTGAGGTGAGAGTGAGGAGCTCAGGCTCTAGAAACAGGCCTCCGCCCTGGATTCCAATCTTGGTTCCCCAACTTGCTAGCTGTGTGACCCTGGGCAAGTTCCTTAGCCTCTCTGAGCCTCTGTGGCTTCACTGGCATAATGGGGAGAATTGTAGCTTGTACCTCTGGGTGGCTGTGAGGATGAAATGTGGTGATGCAATCCAGCACTTGGGAAGGGGGGTACTCACGGGCCATTGGCAAACTCCTGCATGAGGGCGGGCATGCTGGTGAACGTGAGGATGGGCAGCACGGCGAATGGGAGCTGGGGAGAGCAGCAGGAGCCTAGGCTGAGGAATCCTGCCTCAGAATATGGCAAGGGTGGGGACAAGATGGGCGTGGCTTGTCACCCTCTGGGTGGGTGTAAGCTCAACTGCCCTAACCACAGTGAGCCTACTTCCCCGTCTCCTGCCTTCTCAGGTTGTGGGCTCCCAGGCAGGAGAAAGTGTTTGGGGGCTCTGGCATCAGGTTGCTTCAGTTTGAATCCCAGCTCTGCCACTAGTAACTTAACTGAGTGCATCAGTTTTCCCATCTGTAAAATGGGATAATGAGCCTGGGCAACATACACAATGAGCTTTTGTCTCTACTTTAAAAAAAAAAAAAAGGCCGGGTGCGGTGGCTCAC